TTAAAAATTGATTATATGCATTAATGATTGATAATGATATACATACATATACACACAAAATAAAAAAAATTAAAAAAGTATATATATATATATACACACAATATTTCTTACAATTATATTGTATAAATATTTGCCAATTATGATATGGTTTTGTGGCATTTTTTACTATTAATTGTATATGTACATTAGCTAATGAATGCATTATATCATGTATTAATGACTGATAATGCTATTATTTATTATTAAGTCTAACCGAAAGTGCATATATTTAATATACTATAATATTAACACATAAGCACAGCAGACATCCTAAAGTACTTCACTATCATGAGAAAAGAGAGTGTATTCTGGGAGTGGAAGTCTGGTAAGTCAGAGTGACTCAAACAGCACAGCCTATCTGGGTAGATAAGCACCCTGACAGCTGTAACAATGCCCTCTCCTGTGCTTTCTAACTGGGGATTTCCACAACCTCAGAGGTTATTCAAAGATCTGGAAGTGTATATATATCTTGAATAAATCACTGTAAATGTGTGCCCCTCCTGTGACACTTTAAAAAAAAATTGTAATTTGGCGTGTGAATTTGCATGAGCTACACCTTGTGCTGCCTGTGCTTGTTTATCAAAACTTCAACATTTGGCAGTAAAATCACATTGTAAGGGTGTTGTTTGATTAAAAATTTTTACTTGAGTTAATGTGTGAGAAAACGAGTTCACCAGTCATTCTTTACTGTATAAATGTGTTCTTGTTTACAAGTCACAGTCCTTAAGACAGGAAAAGGCCTCTTAGAGAAAATTATGGGAAATTCACTCACACAAGCAGGCATGTCGACTGTCCGTTTGAGCGATACTTAGTGTTTGTAAGGAAGGAAGTCCTCAAAAAAAAGAGGCATTATTTCAGGAAATGGGGTTGATTAAGGCAACACTAGCCTAGCTAGCAGCTTATATACATAATTTACTGTACTACACACACTTCCAATGGCAAAAACTACATTTAGCTTTATGATTTGGCAGACACAAAACTCAAGTAAACAGTCTCTATTGCGTTGCTGGGTTTATTTTTGATAGTTATCAGTTGATTGTTGTGCATGTAAACCAGGTACTGCTTTGATGCTATAAACACAATGCAGTCTAATTCTGAGAAGAGAAACCTGTTCTAAATGAATTTATGGGTAGTGGCACATACATCAAGTTTTCCATTAGCCATGAATGTTTGTGACAAGTGGAACATGTGTTTGACCACTTTTCTTGCTCAGTATGTGCCTTCAAATAGTTAATAGAAATCCAAAGATACAGATCTCCATGTCGTCAGCAGCAAGAGGTCAAACGGGGAAATGTTTTATCGCTAGAGCACTTTCATAAAGTTCTGTCAAAGGGGAGATGATTGCAAATGCTCTAATGGCGGATTTAAAGGTATAACACACCCAAAAAATGGAAAAATGGAAAAGTCAGTGAGGTCCAGAACCGCACCTTGGCAATGCGTCAGTTTTCTTAGGTCTTTTCTTATGTTGGAATGCTATGAAACACATCCAAGTATATCATTTACAACAGTACAACACCCCATTTTCAATACCCAGAGGACTAAAAGCATCTTAATTCACCACCAACGCCCTGTCTATCAGTGTTGCTGAGCAATGAAGACTGGAACATGAACTCATAATGGGCAGACAGCATTAGTTCCTGGCAGCCAGCATAAGAGACATTCAGCGTTTTTGTTGGCCTGCGGGGTCAGATGAGCACAGTTACCCAGCACATCTGTCCCTGCTGCTGCTTCAGACGGCCAGGCTGAAAAGGTCTCCTGGAAAGGTGTCATAGGACAGGCCTGGGCATGTGAACTAACAATCACTCTGACAGTAAAAGACCTGCCGGGACACATATGCCAAGAGCTCACACTTCACTTCATGGCAAAACATAATGACTCTGTGTGACCTGAACACAGAGTTGAGAGACAGAGAGAGAGAGAGAGAGAGTACAGAAAGGTGGTGAAAGGAAATTCTTGCATTTTTGATCAAATTTGTACAATCTGAAAACACTGAATACTCTTTTCTAATTAGGCATCATACAATAAAACTTATGTAAATCTTAATTTTGGTTGTTCTAGCCAGCTGCTACTGTAAAGAGAGACAGAATCGGTTGGTTTAAATTGAGTGCCACAGTCAGGTTCTGGAAGTAAAAATCCCATTCATTTTCTGCATTGGGGAATTGATTTTTAATGATAACTTATAAACCGTTAAAGACAGACCTTCTGTGAGCTACGAGGTAGTTAATCACAGTTATATATTTTTGTTAAAGTCATCAGCCCACATAATTTCAACTTATTCTTGAAATAATCATGTTTAACAGTGGAATTTCTGATTGAAACTACATTACCCATGATTCTACAAATAAATCTCCAACAATCAGAATCATGACAAGCAAATCGCACCAAAAGAACCCGTCTACTCCCATGAAGCACAGCGAACAAAATATATAATCAACATCTTTAAATCAACAGTTTTATATTTCTTCATCATTTTTAAATTTGGCATTTGCAATGCTTCATGGGATTGTAGTTCTTTTCCTCATTAAAGTCATTAAGAATGGAGTCTAGTACCTTTGTCTTTTTGTCCAATTTTCAAATATTTTTTGGCTTCATACCAGGGTTCATATTGTTGTGATTTCACCTTGTAACTGGTTGGTTTGGTTCATGGCTTCTAACTCTTAAAGGGGTCATATGATGCGATTTCAAGTTTTCCTTTCTCTTTGGAGTGTTACAAGCTGATTGTGCATAGATAAGATCCCTGAAGTTGCAAAGACTAAAGTCTCAAAACCAAAGAGATATTCTTTATCAAAGTTAAGACTCTGCCACGCCCCCCTAAAACGGCTCGTTCTAACACCCCGCCACACATCTACCTCACCAGGTGGTAATATTAGCCTAATGCCGCCCAAATGTGCACGCAAAGAAAGAAGGCGTGGTTTCAGTAACCGCAGTTAGTGTTGAAGCAGCCATGTCAGGGCGACGCTGTTTGTTTCTAGGCGAAAGCAAAAGCACTTTATTTGGCTTTCCGAAAGTAGATGCATTTAGGAATCTTTAAGATTACTTACAACAGAACAGCAATGCATTTTATGGACGACCGTTTCGTGAACCTAGGAGAGGAGGTAATTCTGACTTTGCTATGACAATCTGGCGCTTCTGAATCAGCTACTGTTTTGTTATTAGTTTAAGTATTTGCTATTGACTGTTCAAATGCGGAGTTTTGCGCATCGTGTGTGTGTGTGTGCGCGAGCAAGCGAGAGAGAGAGAGAGCGCGAGAGAGTGAGAGAGAGAGAGAGAGATAGAGAGAGAGCGAGGGGGGGTCACATCACAGTGGAGTCTGCTGTCTTAACCATGGCTTGTGTACTGCACACATACCAGCTTCATCACTGCGTCTGTCACGCGACTCTGTTCCCCTTTCGGGCTCTAACTTTCCATTTATTTTGTAAGATGAAGCTCGCGATTATGGTAAGGGGCGTTACATTTCCGACGAGTGCTTGCGGTGTTCGGCCAATCAAAATGCACTGCGTCAGCCGGCCAATTAGAGCAGACTGCGCTTGTCGGAAGGAGGGATTTTGTAGAAAATAAAGCGTTTGAGAGAGGCGGGGCATAGAGGACCTACAATAATGTACAGTATTTGAAAAAGAATGTGTTTTTTGAACATTAAAGCATTAAAACATATTCTGTTACACCAAATACACAAAATAATTATCTTTAAAAAAGCATCATATGAAAATACTTCCGTAATTACGGCCATTGAAAAAGTGGGCGGGAGCTTTTGCCTTTTGTGGTGTTCCACTGTGAAATCTTAATGGTCCAGAACATCAAGTAACTTATCATTGCCTGTGACAGTGCAGTGTGGACAGAAAACTTGGTAACTTGTCACATTACACCTAGTTAAGACAGTGTAACAAAATAGCTAAAGAGTAGCTGGAAAGTCACATAATTTCAGGAGGAAATAATGAAAACATCAACTATTATTTTAAGCAAAAATATCATCTTTTTTAATAAAAAAGACTGTTTCTACACAGCCACTTCATCTGTATAAACAAACAGATAGTCCCGCCCCAAATTTACTGTACATGATTGTCAGAGAGCCGCCTCAAAATGTTCTCATAAGCTAATGCACAGATATTTCTTTTTTCTAGTTGAGCATTGACTCCACTGATATCTCTCAGGTAGTCCAGACCAAAAATAGTTAAAAATAAAATTAGATTGGAGGCTTCACTTGGCAATGGGAAATGTATCCTTTTAAGTATACAGACATTTCCTACCATACACTCTAAAAAATTAAAAAGGGACAAACCCAGCTATTGGGTTGTTTTGACCCAGCGGTTGGGGTCAAAACAACCCAATAGCTGGGTTTGTACCTTTTTAACCCAGCGCTGGGTTATATTTAACCCAGCATTTTTTAGAGTGTACACAGCCTGCAGCTACACAGACAACTGATTCGCTAGAAGGATCATTGTTTGGACACTACAACCATCAGTTTGATCAGAAATAACAGCTCTTTAAACATTATTTATATGCCAACAGATCATTATCGTGGACTGCTTCAAGAAGACTAATGAAAGATTTCCTGTTCAAAGGGATAACTCAAATTTAACCTACTTAACGGGTTATGTGATTCCTGACACATTCAGACAGACAGGAAGAAACCAGAAAGACACATTCTCAGAACAGGAAACTCTTCGACACAAACAGATGATCAAGTAATATGAATTTGAGAAGTAAACCAAGTCCTTCAAAGTGAGCAAGTTTTTTTTATTGTAAAGTGGAGCCATTAAAAGCCATTTAAAGGACTAATAATATTAAGAATGACTGTATTTCTGAACTAAAGGAAAACAGAAACTGAATGATATGGAAGTTGGTCTCATTACCTTTATCGGCCACAGACAGCGTGCTGCTCAAGTACTTCTCCTCAAGCATCCACGATGCATCATTCAGCTTGGACGAAATGCCACACGACCCCACACAGTTGACTTTAATAGCTGTAAAAGGTCAAAAAGACACAAGTCATCATTTTTTGGTTCAAAGTTTTAACTTTTCTGAATGACGTGTCAACAGCAAATTTAAAAAGCAAAACATTTAAGATTTATAGTAATATAATATATTTGTTTAGTAATATAATTTAAAAAAAATCAATGTTTTGATGAACATACATAATATTTTAGTACTGAATGTATTATGTAGTATGCATTTCATTTATATATTTATTTGAAATTACCCGTTTAAATATTCGATATATTGTCCTGTTTAGTATTCTATACATTTCCTGTCAAAAATATAAAACAAATTAATATAAAATTAAATAAAAATATAAAAAAATGACTGCTGTTAAGGAAGCATTATTTATGAAAGAAAAAACTAAAATCTATTCATATCTGACACACCTTGTCATTCCGTTCAAACACTGATAAGGTTGTTTGCCAAACATGTTGGCCACACCTTCATAAATTAGACTTCTTTTGAACACTCTACCATTCCAGAAATGACACAATGACAGGTCTGATAAGTAATCACTTTGGATTTTCCGCAGTAAACAGATCTGATGTCATTTTCTTGATGGCTAGAGCAACACACTAAATGCTGAGTAGGAATGTTAAATGTTTTCCTTTCATCGAAAAACCTGTCTGATTTCTACTGATCCACACAACAGACATTCCGTACGAATTAAATTCACCCAGACAGAAAAGCCCCTTTGTCTGGTGCATCGAGAAGAAACAGCCATCCTTATTTGCATTATAATTGCGTGATGCTAAGCTCTCCACACAGGCTTTATCAGGGTGTACCCAGAAACATAGAGACACCTGAACGTATAAAAACCAACCAGACAGACCAATGTCAGACCCTTCAAAGACTAAAATTTAGGTTGAAATCAGACCTCTTCAGCCTAGAGGTCAGGGTCACAAGATACAGACAAAGATATTTGTATGTGTATGGCTGTAGCATTGGTGCTTTTGCCAAAATGTGTGACTAATAGGCTGTAGAGATGAACGTTTACACATTTTGTGACTTTGAGCAGTCAAAATTAACACTTAGACAAACATATTTACCTTACATGACCCTGTCAGGCAGTTCACAAATATACAGTGTGCGCAAATCTGAATTTGAGTGAAAAGAGACAAACGGACTCGGCCATGTGACCGCAAGTTGATCTGATTATGTAATGGGCCAGTGTGGTGGGCAAAGCCCAAGAAATCTCAATTGGATTGACTCAAAACAGCAGGGTAAAGTAAACACCATTACAACTTCACCCTCAAATATACAGTAATTCAGAAAGCAACCATCTCAAAACATTTAAACAACATGGTTTTCTGCATGCATGCAGTCTTGGTACATAAAAATTTTTGTATTCACATTCAAAAAGCAATAGAGCAGCACTGTCGAAAAAGAGACTGTAAGAGATGGAAAAGATCAAAAAGAACAGATGTTAGTGGCACTTCTTAGTAGGGTTAGCTCAATACCACATTTCAGCTTTGGTATGTAACAGCTCTGGATTTTTGTATTGATACATTGATAAAAACAGACAGAGTTACAAATATGTCAGATTTGCATATCATCTAACAAAAATACTAAACCTATAATTGAAATATACATAAAAATATCTCATCATTTCCATCAAAAAAGTTTTGCAAGTAAATGGAAAGTTTATCAGGGGAATCCAAAAGTCTTGCTAATTAACGCAAACTCTTGCATAAGTCTTGCAAGAGAACGTTTCAAACTTTTCTCTGAGGAGCGCAAATGTTTCGCGAGCCAAAGCAAATGTTTTGGGAACAAAAGCAAACATTTCCAGAGCGAATATGCAAACGTTTCTTGGGGGAATGTAAAAGATTTGAAAGAGCATGCAATGTTTCTTGGGGGAACTAAACTGTTTTTGTGAACGAATGCTAAAACACTGAAATATAATTTTTCCTCCTATCTCATTTTGTCCCTATCACCAATTACCATAGGGACTCCATAAGATACATAACAAATTTGCGATGCATTTCTTATTGAAACAGGAATTTGTGGAGGAACACATTATAGGGCTCGTCCCTTTTTTGTAAATAGTCAATATTGTTTAGTTTACATCACAACTGTGACCAATTTGCTACTGTATATATTCGATGAGAAATGATACTAGTAGGAGGGACATTCAACATTAGATTGGACATATATTTGCATAAGCACTTGAATGAGTACAAAATAAGTCATTAATTTCATCACTAAAGTCAAGGACTATTCATTTTAAATGCATATATAGTTTTAATCAATGCTAGTTTTATCAATGTTTATAAGTAGATTAGCATACAATTTACAACAAATCTAATGGACATGGACTAAAAACTACAGAAATCCCATTTTGATTTCATGGGATCAAACACAAGCATGCAGCACATAATCAATGACTCGGCAAAAATTAGCAAAACAAATGTATTGTACGGTTTAAAATTTGCAGTAATGGAATACTCTGTCCTGGCGCAAGCTTACTTTTCAGTATGCAAGTCAAAGAGCTCCGCGCCACTCCAGACAGACAGATAAACTGCTCAGGATAAGTGTGGCCACAGCAGACCCATCATGAATGAAACTGGGCATCATTTTCGCAGAGAAAAAACGTCAGTTTTCATTTTCAGACAGGCAAAAGGGGGGTTCGAATCAGGGCAGGCATAACACACGGCTGGGGAATGTTAAAGCCTGTTTGTGTGTGGCCAGCACACAGTCTAAATCAGCACCAGTTCACCACAGACACAAAACATTGGTGGCAGATGGCAGCATATCACTGGACAAGGGAGGTGCCCTTCCTGGCACATTGGCATAAGAGCCCTTCCATCTCTAGCACAAATAAAACAACTAAATCCAAAGGAGAGACAGTCCTCAGAGTATCAGGCGATTCATGAACGAATAAATAGGCATTAATGCACCAGTGCCATCTGCTGTGTACCATCTGGGCACTTCTGCTGGCATAAGGAAACATTATGCTGACTATATTCTACCACTACGTACTAAAAAAGCAGTAATGATTAAACCTGCAAGCAGGGTTAAAAGGGCCCTCGCAGCTGGAGCCACCTCCACACGGTGGCCTTAGGAAAACAGTGAACGGTAGACAATAAGCATTTAAAGTGGCAAATATAGGAGGAATATGGCAAAATCATTTATATGTGTCAAACTTCCTGTTGCCTGCAGGTGACACTATGATTATAACTGAATATTGGCCTTTAGATGTGTTCAGGCTAGGACTCTTATCAAACGTGTGGAGCTGGGGGCAGATCAGACATTGTATGGCTTAGTTACAACAGCTTCCTGTTTCATGGCATTAATTAGCACTTAGTAAGAGTTGCTAGCATGTTTCTTGCATGTTTAGCACTCAATTGTTTATTTTAGTGTGTTGCTAATAGTGCATCACAGTGTTAAACATGTCATTTCCTGTTGATAGTAGGTGGTGCTATGAGTATAACTGAATATTGGCATGTAAATGTGTTCAGGCCAGGACTCTTATCAAACATGTTAAGTTTGGGGCAGATTGGACACTGCATGTCTGAGTTACAGCAACTTCCTGTTTCATTGCATTAATAGCATGCTTTAGCACTTAGCTACGTGTTGCTAACATGTTTTAGCATGTCTCTACCATGTTGCTAGTTTATTTAACACTTGCTGACGCTTTTTAATATGTTGCTAGGAGGCCATAACAGTGTTAAACATGTCAATTCCTGCTGCCAGCAGGTGGCGCTATGGCTATAATCAGGGTTTAAATTGACTCCAGGGCTCGACATTAACGCTTCATTAACGCCAGATATGTAACATGATTAAAACATCAGTAACCAAAAATAACTATGTAAACACCAAAACGCAAGTATTATTCTGATTGTATTACATTTAGACTCAAAATTTTAGAGTAAGTGGCGAATAGCGGATATAGCTACTGTATATAATGCATCTATTGACGGAATAAGGTTGCGTTGCTGAGGCGAGGCTCACGCAGCCTCTCCAGGAGAAATCAAAACGCGCAACACTAAGAAACTTATGAATCGGCTAGTGGCTGTGAGATGCACTGTGTTTCCGCCTAAAATGTAAGTGACATAATATTATTGTATTTGCTTATTGAACTGTTTATAGAACTATTAAACAGTCGTAATGGTGAAAACGTTGTGTGATGTTGCCTAACTAAAAACTGCACAAAAATCTTAGAGGAAATTCAAAATGCCTGACTTCCTGTTGCGTTTAGGACTTCATTCCAAGAGACTTTTTTGTAGGTATTGGGACATTACATGCATGTCCATAATTTCGTACATGTACTGTATGTGAAATGTAGTGGGTGGGGCGCTTTGTTGAAATTGAATGTGTCGCTATCAAGCCATTTTGCCATGCCCAATTCTGAAACCCATATCAGGTGTACATTTTTGCCAGTTCTGATACGTGTGCAAAGTTTCTTGAGTTTTTGAGCATGTTTAGGCCCTCAAAAATGTGATTCACTTTGGAGAAGGAGGAGAAGAAGAAAAAGAAGAAGAAGAAACAGAGCAATTCCAAGAGGGTCCTCCTCGCACCATTGGTGCTCGGGCCCTAAGAATGAAAACAGTAAATTGTGTTAAAATTATTTTTCTTTTTGCTTTAGCTACATCCATTTCTATGACATTTCTGTGACCTTTCCAGTCCCACGAATGAATGAATGAATGATTCATTAATGACTCAATCAGACAGATTTGAGAACCAGTTTGTTTCAATGAAAAGAACAAAATAATTCGAATCTGAAAGAATGATTCATTCACAAATCACGCATCACTGTGGCAAGTTTTACCCAAGTTCTTAGCTGACTGAATATTTTAAATAATATTTTTCTTCTTTTAACATGATTTTTGTAGACCTAGAAAATAATATGCATTTTTTATATAATTATTTTCTGATATTCTGACCATGGAAACCTGTAGCTAACATGCTTACAAAGAAAGAATATATAAAGTATAAAATATATGAAACAGATTGCATTGCCAAATCTTTTTGCGGTCTTTTTTAA